ATGCATTGGATTAGGCAAATCTGCTGCAAAACACCTCTTTAAGATGTTAAAAAGCAAAGATGTCACTTTGAAGACTAAGGTGCACTTGATCCAAGCCATGGTATTTTCAACTGCCTCATATGCATGTGAAAGTTTGGCAATGAATAAGGAAGATCGAAGAAAAATTGATGCATTTGAATTACGGTGCTGGGGAAGAAATCTGTCTAGGAAGAAGTACAGCCAGTATGCTTCTTAGAAGCAAGGACAGCAAGACTTCGCCTCACATACTTTGGACATGTTATCAGGAGGGACCCGTCCTTGGAGAAACATTATCACGCTTGGTAGAGGGTCAGCAAAAAAGAGGCAGACCCTCAACGAGATGGACTGACACAGTGGCTACAACAACGAGCTCAAACATAGCAACAACTGCGAGGATGGCACAGGACCAGGCAGTGTTTTGTTCTGTTGTGCACAGAGTCGCTATGAGTCAGAACTGACTTGACAGCAACCTAACAACAACTGTAGACGCAAAACAAATTAGAAAAACTGTACTATATGAAACAGTAGAAGAGATGTCCCATGAGGTTTTATAAGGTTCTCATCTTGGCTTATGTATTAGTTTCCTAGAATTGCCATAGCAAAGTACCACAAACTGAGTGACTTAAAACAACAGAAATTTATTCCCTTACAGTTCTGGAGGCTAGAGGAGACTACATGTGTATAGGCATTCCTTGGCTTGTGGCAGCATAACTGTAATTTCTGCCTCATTTTCCACATGGCCGTCTTCCTTCTGTGTCTGTCTTCATATGGCATTATCTTCCTCTTAGAAGGACACCAGTCATATTGGATTAGGGTTCACCCTACCTCATGTTAACTAATTACATCTGCAACAACCCTATTTCGAGTAAGGTCACATGCTGAGGTTCCAGTGGTTAGGACTTCAACAAATCTTTTTTGGGGACACAAATAAACACATAGCAACCTATCTTAATGTTCTCATTTTTTTTGTGTAGTCAGTGGTCATTTCTGTCAAGAATCATAGGGATAGGGAAGATAAATAGCTAAATGTGCTCTCATACAAACATTAAAGACTCTGAATGCCAACGTGGACAGACTCCAGCATTATCTATTAGGAATGGAAAGACTAGCTATATAGATGTGCTACCAACAGTCTTCATGGTATAAATCCCGCCAACATTTACACAATTTGTCTCTAATGGATCCAGTCCTTACTCCTTCATTCCACTTCCTATTTCCCTCCTCTGCCAAAGTCACCAAATGCTTTTTTTTTTTTTTAATTATCTAGGCAGTCCAGAAAGAAGAGCAGCTAAATACCATTATAATTCACCCTATTCATGTTTCTAAAACCTCACTACAAAGCATTATAAAGGAGTGGTGATAAGAGACTGAAAAATTAAGGTAGGTGTTTGAGGTACTTTAAGAGTAGTGAAGAAAAGAGGCTAAATACACATTCCACACATCAGTGTAATATTTACAAACATTCGAATGGAATCACCAGGTCTCAGTTATAATTCAATAATAAGGAAACAGTCAAATTATATGGTTGGTTCTTGCTTAACAAAAGGGAATTTTAGAAATGTGATAAAATAACTGACTAGTTAAAAATAGAACTATCTGAAATATTTTCCTTGATTGACACCATCCCTCTCTCCCCTCAGCTTCCTGCATGGTCCAAGAAAGTAACTTTACCATCATGTCCTGCTCTTTAACTCTGCAAAGTTATTTACTTCAGGCATGTTGGTACTAATGTAGACTTTAGAATCTTAGAACAAGAAGGAATCTCAGAAAGTCTGATGACAATCCACTGGGGTATTCTCAAATTCTTTCAGGTCATATACGTGTACCCTCTTCTGAAGAATATTAAGGTGAATCATGGACCTAGAAAATGCCCAGCCCTAGTAAGTGCTTAAGAAGCCCTGGTGGTGCAATGGTAAATCACTCGGCTGCTAACCAAAAGGTTGGTTGTTTGAACCCACAAGCCACTCCTCAGGAGAAAGATGTGGCAGTCTGCTTCTATAAAGATTACAGCCTAGGAAACCCTATCGGGCAGTTCTACTCTGTCCTATAGGGTCACTATGAGTTGGAATCGACTTGACAACAATGGGTATGGTTTTTAGAGTAAATGCTTTATAAATACACAAGGAAAGAATGGAATTGATTGAATTAAAACAAACAGAATTGGATTATGGGAAAAAGAAGTCCAACAAGGGCTCAAGAAATGCAGAGTAGATTTGAAGGGTTATTTCCATCTCTTACCTAGTAATACAATCTCTCTTCATAAACACTTTAAAAATGTCAGTTTTAAGGGATAGGGGTTGTGTTTTACATTTATAGTTAAGAATGTATAATTACTAGATTTTTTTTTTTTTTTTTGCGTTTGTCAGTTCTGTGTTGGTTTAGTCTGAGTTATGCATCATAAAATTTAAATTCTAGGATGGTAAGAAAGGAATTGTTTACATCATCTTTGCATTAAAGTGCTTTGCACAGACCCTTGCATACACTGGATGCTTGGTCATATAACAGAGATAAAACTTGCTTCAGAAGCCCAGCTCTGGTCACTTACTGGCTATAAAATTTTAGCTTGTAGTGCTGAGACTGTCTTATAAATACCTAAGAAATAAACATTCAGTTATTAAAGGGATCAGTCCCAGAGTCTCAAGTGCTGACTCCCATCTGAGGTTTTGTTTTTCCTTGAAATCCATCAATAAATCGATCCTACTAGGCAAGGAAAAAACTTTCTAATCTTTGTTTTCCTCACATATTAACACCTGTCCTATCTCACAAGGTTGTTTCCATGATCAAATAAGAAAGTACATTAAAGTGCTTTATAAAGAACAAAGTATAACATCAACAATTGGAAACATCACTATTTTTCCTATCAGAAATGAGCCAGCCTAATGGAGTGAACAAAACTGGACAGATGAAAATTCTTGGACTTAAAATCTAGATTCCATCACTTAATAGCCATATGATCCTGAGCCAATTATCCCCACTTTGGGATAATGACATCTACCTTACGTTGTTAGTGGGAGGATTATGGATAATGTATGTAAGGCTGAACCCTATACCTGGTATATTGTGCTAAACAGTCAATATTTCTTATTAATACAGTAGTTTATCAGAAACTTCTCACATGCTCATGTTGTATGTAAGTTCTACACAGCCACCATAAATGGCAAAGACCAGTACAGAACATATGGTTCCCTTCTAACAGAATTTTTTTTGTTTCAACATGTTAATAAAAAAATGTATTTATTATATTGGACACAGTCATATTTGGAATTTACTGTATCAGTCAAAAAGATTTTAAAGTAACTTAAAATGCTGTCAGTCAATAAATGAGATAGAAGGAGATTCTGGCATGTAAGTAACTGAAAATCATTTATTATACTTTTGCTAAGCCAAAATGTTAAGATTTAGAATGTGATATACTTAGGAATACAAAAGTATTGCTTCTTAGTAAAGAGACTAATAATCTACACTTAATGGTGAACTAATGTACCACTTGTGTTAAGTAACTTAAGATAGAAACTAAATTCATCTTTTGATAGGCACAAGAATGGCTAATGATTTCTGCATGTGTTAGCCATATTATTGTTCCTTTTATATTATAGTCAAAGCACATACACACACACACACAGTAAAACCTGTGAAAGCCAGAACTTGTGTAAGGTGGAAACTTGTGAGAGAAGGAAAACTCAAATATTTTCCACTAAAAGGAGTGATTAAAAATGTGGTTTAAGACCGTAACCCTGTCAAAGGCAGAAACCTTGCGAGACCCAGAAAAAAAAGGCAGTCCCAGAGTTTCAGCTCTCACAGGTTTCACTGTATTTCCAGAATTTATAATAAACCACTTGTAATTAATAAAATAGTACAACTTAAGAATCTTCAAATTATTTACCAGCATTTAGATAAGCACAATTTTTAAAACTGTATTTTGTTTGTTCTTCCATGGAATCTTTGGACTTTGCCTTGTTCTCTTTCAAAAAACGATTCTTTCCCCCAAAGAAAGATCACACTCTGAATATAAAACTTGAAACTCAGAAATAATTGAATAATATGAAACAAAGAAACACACTTTAGTATTCCTGGTTTTATCCAACTGGTTCTGAGATCTCAAATGGGCGTAACAAAGCACTGACTAATGACTCAATGTCCAAACAGACTGACCTATTCAAATAACTGAGTTAAAGGATACTTAGTGGGGCTAGGATACTGACCCCAATTCCCATCCTCACCATTCTTAACTCTATTTTTTTAAAAATAGATCTCCCTCAGTTTTCTCCTAGAAGACCATAATTCCCATCTCCTCAACTCGGAAAAGCTTCCTAAGCAGAAGGAATGACCAGCACTCATTAGCAAAATCCATTTTTCTGCATGTATGTAATCTCTCCTCTTTAGGCTCTCCTAGCTCTCTTCTTTGCTGATAATCAAATGATTATTTCACACTTTATCACATCCCAATCCTTTTGATTTATTCCATTTCCTCTTTCCAGGGCAGAATTTCACCCTAGAGTTTCTGCAGTTACCTGCCAACTTGCTGATTAAAATCATCCAGCTTTTCAATCCCTGTCTGTTCAAAACAATGCAACTCAATAATTTCCATGACCCAGCTGACAATCCCTGTACTAGATTGAAGCAGAGTACACTGGTCAGTTCTGAGGTGGTTCTGGTATCCAGTAAGTCCAATCTTTGTCTTAACAATGGTCAATATGCTCTTAAGAATACAGAGACCTAAATGAAATTATAATGAAGGCAAGTAACAAACTGGAGAACTGTGACTAAGACATTTTCATAAGGCAGTGACTGACAGGAAAATTACTTTGAAAAATGTGATCTACTTCCATGTAGAGTACCAACTGTAATATAACTTACAGTCTCAAAAGTTTTAAGTAAGAGCAAAAATATTATCACTAGAAAGAAGCTTTTCAGTTTTGCACACAAAACATTTTTTAATACTTTTGAAATTAATGACTGTCTAAATAAATATATATACTTACATTTTTGAATAGTTGCTCAGCAAGTTCTCTGACATGCTTTATCATCTTCAATGGGTTATTTTCTTCTACTTTAATTCGCTCTACTTCAAAGGCTACCAACTTGGGAAAAATCAAATGGCAAAATATCAACTCCAAAATATGTTGAATTAGAAAACTGTGTGATAATTTCATACAATTTGCAAGCCAAAAAACATATACTATTATTAAAACAAAATATTTTATATTTTTCGTGGGTTCTACTTTTATTCTGGGGTTGCAAGGTCAGTTGAGTCCTTGGATGGTCTGATGGTCTCTCCCTGATGGTTTATGGCCCTGTTTCTTCTTGGGAAAAGTCATTTCTGAAACTCAGACTCTGTCATTCCCAGGTCTCACTCAGGGAATGCACTCACTCAGAGAATTACAGAAAGTCTCCAAACATTTCTCTAACTCACAAAACATGAGGCAAATATACACTATATTGAGCAAGTGAGGTTGCTCAGATTCTCATCCTAGTCTGTAGATAGTGTGATCTGGGACAAATGACTTACACTCCTGGGTTTCAGTCTCCTCATCTCTAAAATAAGATGGAAGAACAAGATGACCTCTAGGCTCCTTCTAGTTCTCAAATTCTGTAAATTTTAGTCCATCTCCCTATTAACTAATTTACTGAGAGAATTATGTGAGTATGTGTGTGTATACTTCAGGTGGAGAAAAGAGTGTTAATAGGAAAAAAATTGGGGAGGAAATTGGTGGATGATAAAAGAAAAGTATAATATGAGATTCTTCTAGGAGCTAATAGATTCGCTGGAGTGTATTAAAACAAACAAACAAACAAAAAAAACCCCATTGTCTTCGAGTAGATTCCAACTCATAGGGACCATATAGAGCAGTGTAGAACTGCCTCATAGGGTTTCCAAGGCAGTAATCTTTATGGAAGCAGACTGCCACATCTTTATCCCACTGAGTGGCTGGTGGGTTCAAACTGCCAACCTTTTGGTTAGCAGCCGAGCTCTTTAACCACTGCACCACCAAGGTTCCTGGACCATACAGTCATATAAAATTATGACTTGCCCTGTTCTAGGCCATGATTCAGAAAAACTGTCAAACAAAGACAAACATTTCTTTCCTTCTACTATGCCTATTTAATGGGAGTGTGGGATAAGGCAACACACAATGCAACCTGCCTCTCAAAGCTCCATTAGCCTCCCTACCCTTCACCCCCACCCCCAGTGTGCTGGTAGGCTGTCTTTGTCTAACTGAAAACAAGGATTCCTTTCCCAGGAGCAAATGCCATTTTCCTACAAAGTACATTTCTGTGCAAACCAATTAAATGGCTAAAGAGGATACAAGGAGAAATTACTTAGGTCTGGTGCCTCTTTCCTCTTAGACCCTTGGCTGATGTATACATACAAACAACTGTCTTTCAAGTAGCAACATCAATAAACCAAAACCAAACCCACTGCTGTCAGGTTGATTCCGACTCATAGTGACCCTGCGGGACAGAGGAGAACTGCCCATAGGGTTTCTAAGGCTGTGTAACCTTTACAGAAGCAGACCGCCACATCTTTCTCCCGTGGAGCAGCTGATGGGTTCGAACCACTGACCTTTCGGTTAGCAGCCAAGTGCTTTTAACCACTGTGCCACAACATCAATAAACCAAAAAAAGAAAAAAAAAAAAAAAAATCACCACTGTAGGAGGAACATAGAAACTGGATGGACAATAAGGGGAGGCCCAATAGGAATCTTTGATAGACTTCTTGCCTTATCATTGTTTCCAATCTAGATGACACACATGTATAATATAAAATACACAATAAAAAACAAGTTACCATATAAGGTTAGAGACAAAACAAATCCTAAGGCAGACTAATGGCTCTCAGAGTTACCTACTCTGAGAAAGTCTGGAGGGGGCTGTGAAATAAGAGCAGAGTATGAAGAATGGAGGCTGAGAGGTAAAGGGAGGGCACTCCATGCAAGGGGGAAGGACCTACAGAACTAACCACAGGCTGAGGCAACCAAGTTTTCTGCAACTAATCAATCTGACTTTTTAGTTGTGATGAAGCTGCCAGAGGGAGTTACTAAGGGAAATTTGGATAGGAAGAGGTTATATAAACCAATTTAGGCAGAACTGAGTTGTTTACAATTCAGAATTCTAACTTAACCTCATAAAACATTATATATCAAGTACTTAGTTCAGGATCTAAAGCTGATACATATGCTAGTATTAGATAATAAATGATTATTGATCAGAAGGAACTGCCCACCTAAGGGCAATCTCTTCTAAATCTTCATATGCTTTGCGTTATTATTAACTAAAGCATTTGGTGCAGATCTCCAAACTAATAACTAAAACATGTGCCACTTATTTAATTCTTACTTGTGAATAATGAACTGTTTTTAGAAAGCATAAATGATTCTTCTCCACTGAACCAAGGATCTTTAAGATTTTGATTCCTATCTTCTTCATACTAAATAAACCACCCAGCATCAAACTATGACTACTCTTCTCCACTATCTTGGGTGCTAGGCCTGTTTTTCTTTTTTAGACTTCAGGAAACTTTTAAATTTATTAGTTCCAATACACGTTGTGCTCTTTCAGAAACTGAAATAGAAATAATATTAATTGTTCTATCCACCAGAATAGGCTGCTGTGAACAAAGAGTTAAATGATACATGAAAAGATGCTTTAGAAAAAAGAGAAAGCACAACAAATGCAAAAGAGCATCTTTATTTTGAGTCACATCTGTCCTATTTCTTCCTCTACGTGGCCAGTTATTAGAGACAGAGACTAAATCTGTCATTCATATATTTAATATCTCCTAAGGGAGCTAACTCATAGTGACCCTGTAGGACAGAGTAGAACTGCCCCACAGGGTTTCCAAGGAGCGGCTGGTGGATTTGAACTGCTGATCTTTTGGTTAACAGCCAAGCTCTTAACCATTACACCACCAGGGCTCCAGGGTCACTATGAGGTACAATCAACTTGATAGCAATGGGTTTTTTTAAAAAGGGAGCTAAAAGGAGCCCTGGTGGCGCAGTGGTTAAAGTGCTCACCTGTGAACCAAAAGGTCAGCAGTTCAAACCCACCAGTCATTCCTTGGGAGAAAGATGTGACAGCCTGCTTCTGTGAAGATTACAACCTTGGAAACGCAATGGGGCAGACCTACTCTGTCCTATAGGGGCCTTATGAGTGGGAATCAACTTGATGGCAACGGGTTTTTTGGTTTGGAAAGAAGCTAAACAAATGTCGATTATTGATTAGTAAGAGTGCCACTAAGCTAACTATGACTCTGTAGCACTGACAGACTAATGTAACTGCAGTTTGAAGTCACATATCTGTATATCAAAATTAGAGCCTTCTCCCTATGTGACTGATAAAGAAATCATAGTATTATTGCCTTTAAAAATAAGAGTTCTGTATATAGAATAAAATCACTGTAAAAATTTTTAAAGGATTTTAATAAATTATTTAAAAATTCAGCTCAAGATTTTTATATACTCTGACACATCCTATAATTTTATTTTTTCCTTATTTTTCTAATCTGCAATATAAATACTGAGATATGATATGCAGAATAGAAAATATTTAATTATTTTATATTTAATTTATAATATATTTATTATTTTGATTTAGTATTTACAGATAATACTTCTCTACTTTTAACTACTGATCTATTTTTGTCTATAAATAATGCATTGATTTTATAAGAACAATACCTCATCAAATAGATCACAGGACCTATAGGGAGGACCTCTTTCTGAAACAAAACCTGCAAATGCCATTCCATTGAGTACTTTAGTGAGGAAATCATTCTCAGCCAAACCACGCTGCCCCAAGAAAGCTGTCTGTAAGGATAGAAAATGGAAAACGAATAGATTAATTTATCATTTAGTAGTGAACAAAATGGTCAAAACAAATTATAATAGAAAGATCAAAGCAAGTATAAATACATTTCCCCGGAAAGGAGTTTTTGTTCTGACCTGAAATACTATACACTTTGGAAAGAATAAAAATAAATCCATCCATAAGGCAGGAGGAGAAATCAGAAATTAACACTCGACTTTAAAAGAAAAATCAATTTAAAGTTAACCAACTTTAAAGGAAAATATTATGTCAGTTCCACAGTATTATTAAGAATTGCCACCCAACCTCACAAAACAGAGATCTTAAATAATTACATTTGATAAATTAAGGTCAAAATGCATGGCTAGAAATAGACAACTATAGAGTTTTATTAAATTAGAGACCACTTTTTGGATACATACAATATAATACCATATCTTACCTTGTGAAAATGTATTACTGGTTCTGCATGAATTCTTATAAGCTGTAGGCATGATCTGTATCCTTGGAAAAGTTGTGCAAATAATCTAAGGAAAACTGCTCGTACTTCTTTATCCTGAAAAGATTAAGAAGAAATATGTTAGGCAATTTAATTTCTTAAAACACAAATGAAATATCATCAAATCATAAAGTTGGGAAGAACCTGAGCAATTATCTAATAAGTCTGTCTGTGCTTCCTAAATGTAAGTCTCATTTGTAGCAACCGTGAGGGGTGAGCATCTTGTCTATTCAATTGTTGGGCAGCCGAAGCTATTAAACAGTTCTTTATATTAAACCAAACAAAACTTGCATCCAGTATTTGCAATTTTCCTCTTAGGGAAAACTAAGTCACAGAATCTCCCCCTTTACCATGTTAAAGAAGACATATTTCCCAAGTCCTATGATTTTTATATCCACCAAAGGAATTAAAGTCATAAATACAAAAGAAAAAAGAAAACCAAAGGATTAGACTTAAAAAGCTATAAAGTTCTTCTGAAGTTTATATAACTTATAAAAATCTATTCTTATACTAATGAGTTATGATAAAATGATTTTTATATCCACCAAAGGAATTAAAGTCATAAATACAAAAGAAAAAAGAAAACCAAAGGATTAGATTTAAAAAGCTATAAAGTTCTTCTGAAGTTTATGTAACTTATAAAAATCTATTCTTATACTAATGAGTTATGATAAGAATCTATTTTGATAATCCAGGTTTTAATATAATCTCAATTTTAGAACTGTAAGGAAACTTACAGATTTATTTAGTGAATATTTTATTTAAGTGATGAGGAAATGAAGGTCAAGATGCTTAAGTAACTTGTGAAAGGAGTCCAGCTCTATGAGGCTCCTTACTGGCCACAAAGCTCACCTCTAAGAAATGCACTGGGCAAAATAAAAAAGGGGCATTCAGTTACACATTCACCCTTGTATTGCTTCTACTCAGAACTATTCTTATCCTCTTACTCTTCAAATTTGATCTAACCTGTTATCAACATTCTTTGTTTCCATTTTTGTAAACTTCCCTTTTTCATTCTTGCTTGGCCCTTTTAAGTTGATGCTTGGAACAGTTTTCCACACTATAACTTACGTTCTGATTTTTTGTCCTACACTTATTCAAGCTTCCTCAGGACAACAATATTGGCCCTACCCCTGGCCCATGCACAGCCCTGTGGCTCCTCCTTGAGAAGGACACAAAGTTAGTGGCAATTCTCCTAATTTCTAATTCAGGACACTTTTTACGTTACTAGGCCGTCCATCTAACTCTCACTTCACTCAGTTTCTCTAACAACCTTACAAATACAGCTCTCTTAAAAAGCATAAAACTTAAAAAAAAAAAAAAAAAAAAAGCATTAAACTTAAATATTAAACTTCTTACCAGCATTTTTGAGTGGGATAAAGCTGTTCGTGGAGGGGGAAAAGCATGATCTGCTACTTCCAAATCTGGGTGTAAAATCTAAAGCAAAGAAGTTTTATTATGTAAAATATCTTAATATCAGTAAGACTTATTCTTTAATCCACTTGGAGTATTAGGATGAAAAAGTGTCAGTATGTGAATTATGATATATCCTATCTATGAAATGCAATGCAGTTAGCTGAGGTAGCACTTTATGAACTAGAAAAGATATCCAAGATAAAATACTTGGTGAAAAAAACATGTTCTAGAAAAATATACATAGTATAGTCTCATTTATGTGAAAACAAAAAAAACTCCAAAAACAAAAAATCAATCCTACATCTATATATGTATATGCACTGATATACATATATATAAAAATGTAAAATTCTCAAAGAATATATACTAAACTACAAAATAGTAGTTACTTCTGGGAAAGGAATTGTTTGGGGTAGAGCTATTTGTCTATATTGTTGAATGTTTTAAACAAGCATTTGTTTTTATGTTTCATAATATAATTAAGAATTAACTAACTAATTAACTAATTGAAATACTGGAAAGAAAGAGCAAAAGCTTATGACTCTCACAGCCCAGAGGAGGAAAATGTATAATACAACGTGATAAAAAATAAAATAAATAAACAAACAAACAAAAACCAAACCCACTGCCGTCAAATCAATTCCAACTCATAACAACTCTATAGGACAGAGTAGAACTGCCCCAAAGGGTTTCCAAGGAATGGCTGGTAGATTCAAACTGCCAACCTTTTGGTTAGCAGCCGAGCTCTTAACCACTGCACCACTGGGGCTCCAACAATGTGGTAGTTGCTATAAATATACAAAAAATATGAAATATAAAGTATAATGAATTCAACATAGGAAAAGCTTAGAAAAAGAAGGTAATATTTCAGTTAGGCTCTGAAGGAAAGCAGGGTGGGTAACAAGTGGGAAAGAATAATCCACACAGCACTTAAAACAGGAAAAAAAGGTGAAATTGTATCAATATGTAGCAAATATTTGTCTTTGTAGAATCATTTTGAAATAGATCAAAGACTGAAAACAATACTTAAAAACTACATTAAAATATCAGCAATAATTATAACCCAATCACTACTACAGTGTAATAACATCTTGGTGTCTGTAAGATCATCCATAATTATTACACAGTTCCATGTACTGTGTTCCCATTTGGTTACAATTATTCACTTTACTTATATGTCAAATCTCCCATGCATTCCATCAAATATAATCTCTTTTTGGTCCTAGTTTGACAATACACTATGCTCTTATCTCTTATTTGTAGTACTGCACTGTAGCACATAATCCACTACTGTGTTTGACCGCTATAATAATGTGCATACTCAGTCTTACCAGAAACGAATTTTCATTGATCAGTATTTGGTAGCACAGGTGTTGCAGGTTAAGGAATACTACTGTGCAGCAGGACAACTAGCAGAAGCCACTAATTTAAGAACTAAAATCTTAATCTCTGTTACTTTTTGTATTTAATCTTTGAATAATTATTAATATTAAGTAATCACATACCTGTAAGATTTCTGAAAACATTAAACCTTTCTTTAATAACTCAAATATTATCTTCTTAGCTTTTGCTACATCCATACACCACCTGTGCAATTATTGACTGTTTTTCTTTAAATTGTCTTTAACTCAATTCACTTTTTAACCTAGTATTTTCCTAGATGCTATCTCTGAGATCACAGATTTTACATGCTATTTTAATATACATTATTATAAATATTTAATTATTAAAATAAAAAAGTTTGTACACGTATCACCCAAAATCATCTCCATGCTTCTCTTTGGTAAACAGTGACCTAGTCATCTTATGGATAAAACATTCATCCTATAATAAAAACCAGGAAATAGAGGCGTAGAGGTGGGATGTGATTTATGCAATAAATATCAAGTGGCAGAAGAAGATTGGAATTCAGGTCTCCTGAGTCCTGTACCAGCATTATTTCCACCATATCACATCTTGTATTCCAGATTACAAATTATATTAGGAAAAGTCAGTCTTCTCTAAATGTTCCTACCCATAAATACCACTATAACAATATAAGGACTAATGTAAGTTTGAAGATTTTCTGAGAATTAAATCCCTCTGGGTAAATCCAGACCTCTGAGTTTCTGTTTAAGGAAGAAAACAGTTTAAGCAGGCCGGACTAGAATATTATCAAAGAACAGTAGGAAGGCCTTAGTTCTAGGAATGGCTTGAAAAGGAGTGCAGAATTTCTAAGGTTCAATTTTCTCATGACAGATAAATGGGCACTTAAAAGGTGGCAGTAAAATAAAACGTCTTTTTAAAAATCAGCTAAGGTAAAATAACTGCAAAACAAAATTAAATGTGTTTCAATGAGAAAAATTCAGGTTACAAGATATTTTAAAACATTACTGCAGGGAATGCTAGACATTGAATCTATCAATAAGTTACACTTCTTATAATAATTTTAAACACTGGCAAAAGAGGATCACACTGTTTTTTGCAAGTAGCACATCTGCCAAAGAGGAATAAGATGCTCTAATAAAAGATTAGCTAGAAGAGGGACTAGGAGCTGATTTCTAAAGGGAAATGGGAAAGGAATCAGGGATTTGAGATAGAAACATATCTTGTTTTTACAAGTATACACAGTAGCTCCTATATAAAAACCCATTGCCGTGCAGTCAATTCTGACTCATAGCGACCCTATATGACAGAGTAGCTACTATACATATACATAGTGAGTAGCTACTATATATATACTGAGTATATATATAGCTACTATAGTATATATACTAGTATATATAGTAGCTACTCAGTAAATATGCTGGATGAAGGAATGAATGTAGAACAAAATATTCAGTTAAGATCCAAAGCACACTCTTTACATTAAAAAAAAACAAAAAACAAAAACCATTGCCGTTGAGTCAATTCTGACCTATAGCAACCCTACAGGACAGAAAAGAACTGCCCCGTAGGGTTTCCAAGGAGTGGCTGGTGGATTCAAACTGCAGACCTTTTGATTAGCAGCCGAACTCTTAACCACTGCACCAGCCGACTACCTAGTAAATAAAGAATTCTCTCCTAAATACTATATTTACCTATTCATGTTTCAAGAACATACACCTCTCTGATACTTGACAAAGGCCCAAAGTCTGTTAAATGGGGAAAAGACAGTCTCTTTAACAAATGGCGCTGGCATAACTGGATATCCATCTGCAAAAAAATGTAACAAGACCCATACCTCATATCATGCACAAAAACTAACTCAAAATGGATCAAAGACCTAAACATAAAATCTAAAACAATAAAGATCATGGAAGAAAATATAGGGACAATGCTAGGAGCTCTAATACTTGGCATAAACAGAATACAAAACATTACTAACAATGCACAAATACCAGAAAACTAGATAACTGGTAGCTCCTAAAAATTAAACACTTATGCTCATCAAAAGACTTCACCAGAAGAGTAAAAAGACAACCTACAGACTGGGAAAAAAGTTTTGGCTATGACAAATCTGATCAGAGGCTGATCTCTAAAATCTACAAGATACTGCAAAAACCCAACAACAAAAGACAAAAAAAAACAATTAAAAAATGGGCAAAGGATATGAACAGGCACTTCACCAAAGAAGACATTCAGGAGGCTAACAGATACATGAGGAAATGCTCAAGATCATTAGCCATTAGAGAAATGCAAATCAAAACTACAATGAGATACCATCTCACCTCAACAAGGCTAGCATTAATCCAAAAAACACAAAACAATAAATGTTGGAGAGGTTGTGGACAGACTGGAACACTTATACAATGTTGGTGGGAATGTAAAATAGTACAACCACTTTGGAAATCGATTTGTACTTCCTTAAAAAACTAGAAATACAAGTACCATACAATCCAGCAATCCCACTCCTTGGAATATATCCTAGAGAAATAAGAGCTGTCACGTGAATAGATATATGCACACTCATGCTCATTGCAGCACTGTGCACAGCAGCAAAAAGATGGAAATGACCTAGATGCCTATCAATGGACGAACAGATAAACAAATTATGGTATATTCACACAATGGAATACTACGCAATGATAAAGAACAATGATGAATCTGTGAAACATCTCATAACATAAAACATAATCTGGAAGGCATTATACTGAGTGAAATCAGACAATTGCAAAAGACAAATATCATATAAGACCACTATTATAAGAATTCAAGAAAAGGTTTAAACACAGAAGAAGACATTCTTTGATGGTTACAAAGGTGGGGAGGGAGGGAGAGGGGTACTCACTAACTAGATAGATAAAAACTATCTTAGGTGAAGGCAAGAACAACACACACTACAGGGGAAGTCAGCACAACTGGACTAAACCAAAAGCTAAGAAGTTTCCTGAATATAACCAAACACTTCAAGGGACAGAGTAGCAGGGGCAGGGGTCTGGGGACCATACTTTCACGGGATATCTAGTCAATTGGCATAACAAAGTTTATTAAGAAAATGTTCTGCAACCCACTTTGGTGAGTGGCATCTGAGGTCTTAAAAGCTTGTGAGTGGCCATCTAAGATGCAACAGTTGGTCCCAACCTACCTGGAACAAAAGAGAATGAAGAACACCAAAGACACAAGGAAAATATTAGCCTAAGAGACAAGAAGGGCCATATAAACCAGAGACTCCATCAGCCTGAGACCAGAAGAAATAGATGGTGCCCAGCTACCACCAATGACTGCCCTCACAGGGAACACAACAGAGAGTCCCTGACTGAGCGGGAGAAAAGTGGAGTGCAGAACTCAAATTCTAGTAAAAAGACCAGACTTAATGGTCTGACTGAGACTGGAGGGACCCTGGAAGACATGTCCCCTGGACTCTCTGTTAGCCCAAAACTAAAACCATTACCAAAGCCAACTCTTCAGACTAAGATTAGACTGGACTATAAGACATAAAATGATACTTCTGAAGAGTGTGCTTCTTAGTTCAAGTAGATACATGAGACTAAATGGGCAGCTCCTGTCTGGAGGCGAGATGAAAAGGTGGAAAGGGACAGGAGCTGCTTGAATGGACACAGGAAATCTGGAGTGGAAATGAGGAGTGTGCTGTCACAGTACAGTGAAAGCAACTAGGGTCACATAACAATGTGTACATAAATTTTTGTATGAGAAACTAACTTGAACTGTAAAATTTCACTTAAAGCACACACACACACAAATATATATATATACATATATACACACTTCTTAGCAATAAAAAAATAATGATGAGGCAGCTCTATACGGTACTGAAAAGAAAGGTGTTCAAGACATTTTATTAAAGGAAAAAGTAAGAATGCAGAGCAATGTAGCAAACTATAACTTCTTCAGGGAAGAAGACATACTTACATGTTTGTAAATGCACAGGATATCTATACAAGGATACACAAGAAGTGATAGCAGGGGGTGCTTTTTGGGAGGGAAGCTGGGAGACTGGGTTCAGAAACGGTAGAGAGACTAACTTTTTGCTGTCTATCCTTCATACCTTTTGCATTTTGTGCTATATGCATGTATTACTTCTTCCAAAAAAAGTATGTATATAATAAATTTGTAAAATTTTATTAAAAAAAAAATTTGGACGTTCAAAAACAAATGTGATACTGAGATCCCAGGAAGTATGGATGGGACACTGATCACATCAGCCATGATAAGATTAGTGTTGCTGTTGTTATAGTTATTCTACTTCTGCAAAAACAAACAAACCCTGTGCAATAAGTAGGAAAAAAAAAAAAAAGAATGTAACCAACATTACTGAACAATAAGTACAGAAATTGTTGAATGGGAACCTGTTTTGCTGTGTACACTTTCATCAAAAATATACACAACTCAACTTAAAAAAAAAAATCTAGAAAAGGAAAAAAAAAGAACATACACCTCTCATTTTTAAGTAATTACATTGACAATGATGCTTAATTTTAACTATCTCACTTTAAGATTTAAATTAAGAAAAAACTATTACTAAAAAAACATGTCATACCAAAGAAAGAGCTGCTTGAGTCTGATGTAGAAGTGGTTCTGGGAGGGAAGAGAGGTGAATACATTCAGGAATTTTAATAGTGCCTCCATCCAAATCTGCTATGATTACATCTAACTGAAAGAGATAAAAAAAAATTAATTTATAATTAAAAAGATATATTTGTTGTTAAACAAATTCATCTGGCCTTCACTAATTTAAAATGAGAACCATGTATGGGAGAGGCTCTTGGCTGTCCATAGTAATAGAATTATTGCTGGGTTCGTGACTTCTGAGGTACGTATATTTCCCAGCCTCCTTTGGAAGAAGTGTGACCATGTTTCTGGCAGTGGAATGTAAGAAGAGCTGTGGGCACTTTCAGGCATTCCAGAGAGAAGGTATGTAAAAAAGGAAAGAGTATGTTCTCTTTCACCTAGCTACAGGCTAAAACAATAAACTGTTAGCAACCCAGCCTTGGGCATTCAGATGATGATAATGCTGAAGGGATTCTGGACTGTGAATGACTTTATAGAGCAAAATGGTTTATGAACTGCTGCACAAGTGTTAAACAGAATTTCACTTCGTTTGAGCCACTGCATTTTGGATACTTTATTATAGCAGCGTAGCCATATCATAAGCAGCACAGTAATCATAACACAGGAATCTTAGAAAAGCAGTTAGTATATACCAAAAGGGTACTGTTTAGGTACTTAAGAAAAAGCTGATTCTTAGGATTTTACAGTGTATTTAAAAATAAATTATATAAAAATGTAATAGAGAAACTAGCCAAGATTATTAAAGATGTTACATTGATAATATCATTATGATTCATTAAAATTTACTCATTAAAAATTAAGAAATTTACTTTGTTAACACTTGGTTTGTCCTAACTTCAGTGACTGTTTGTCTATATTTAGTGGTAATAAAATTACCTACAAGCCATATGGGTATGCTTTCAGTCAGTACTAATTAGGTTTTACTGAATATGTTTATTGATTTATATATATTTTTATACTGTGATATGAAAGTTAAAAAGGAACTAGATATCCACATATAAGGTTAGGAAGAATGATTAATATATGAATCAGAGTCCTGTTTATAATTACAATGTTGAATAGTCATTTTATTAGTTTAAATGGCACCTCTCATTTGATTACAACCATAATTACTAGATAAGAACCACAGAGCTGATCTCCTTGCTGCATTTAAAACTAAAACAGAAGTAGAATTATAAATTGTACGGACCTCGTGGGTCACAGATGTCATGTAGCCCAACCTCTCAATAAAGAATTTTTCTTAAAATCCCTGACAGTGGTGTATAATTCCTTCCACTCTATTTACATTGCTTGGGAGTTCACGTCTCACAAAAGGAAACCTAATCCATCACTGGGAAGCTCTAGTAATTGGAAAATCTTATATTGAACAAAAATCTGTTTCTCTCTAAATACCCACTGGTTCTATTTCAATCATTGAGAGCTACCTTCTTCCCTACAACAGCCACTTAAATACCTGCCTTTGGCTATCAAATAGTATCATAAAATTACCTGAGAAAATTTCCCTAAGGCCTCACAGGATAGTTTCTCAACTCTTGACAATCCTAGATGTCCTTCTCGAAGTGCTTTATTTTGTTACAGTCCCTCTTAAAGTGCAATACACAGAACTAAACACATTATTACAGAACTGACTTGAGTGTAGAATATTAGCTTCCCTTTTTGATATTTCTATTCATACGGCATTAAGAATACAATAATTTGGTAGGGGTTCATACTGAACTTGTGTTCTATTAAAACCCCTCAGACTTTTGCAAAGGCTTTTTGCTTTGTTAGTTACCAGTCATTAAGTATTAATACAGGCCTCATTTTGGAATATGAATAAATTAAGCACTAATAACAAAAGTATAAACAGAACACTAATTAATGGATTATTTTGTCTTTTCTCATATATAGGATGAGGAATACAGAACAATAAACTTGTATGTCAAAAGGTGGGCATTTTAAAATTTAAATAAATTCATTTTTAAAATCTCCTATACTTGCTAGAAAGCAAAATTAATACATGTAAACTTTTCAATAACGCTTTTCTTCCAGCCAACCTTTTCTACTGGGAATGCAACAGACTTGAAAATAGTAATTAATTGAAAAGCTATAGGACTCAAAGAAATATGGTAGAACTTTGGCTTTAAAGGTGAATACTTACAAGTTCATGGACATCAGTTTTAAAAATAGAATGTACTCCAATAATGAAAGGTGTTGGGGAACTTAGAACCTCCAGTAGCTGAGCCGGGAGAATGGGAATATAAGGATAACTGAAAATAATAAAAATATGTATCAAATATATTTGTTTTTCCATAACATAATCATATTTTTCTTCTTCTTTATGCTGTATGAGTTTTAGATTGTCCACATTTAGAAATTATCAGTAACATTGTTATGGTTGTTAATATTACATTTCTTAAAGGAAAGGTTTTTAAAAAATCTTCATGTGAAAGATACGATCAGACATAACAAGAGGTAAAGTAACTGGAATCCAGGCCAGTTTCTAATCCTTATCCCTCCTGGGTAAGCAAAGTCTCTTTAGGTATTTTAATCTTGTTTTAAAATATTTTTTCTTACATAGAAATATGACAGTAACACTGACTCCCTGATGGGCCTTCCCCTCCTAATAACTGGGCAATGATTTGCCTATATAAAACAATCATTTAATTCCATTTTCTATACCAGATTTTTGCATTCAATAACAATAGCAAAGCAAAAGAATTAAGGTTGAGAATGCTCTATTTTATCTAATAGGTTAACAGAAGCACATTGTTAAAAAAAATTTTTTTAAATAAATTCTGGACACAGTCTAAAATCTTTTTTTTTCCAGTTTGTTTGAACTTAAGCATCCTAGATCTTATAATTATCAAATTGAATAATCAGTATTCCACTTAAAGCCATCACTGGCTATACAATATTCCACTATCAGGCCATCACTGTTTTGTTTTTTTAAGGAAAATTTTTAACACAACCTCAAAAATAAATGGAAAGAGAAAAAGTATAATGAAGCCCCATGTATCCAGTCGAACTTTGATAATTAGCAATGCGTGGCCACATATATATTCCCACCTGCTTTTGTTCTCTTCCCTACCACATTATTTTGAAGCAAATTCCAGACATTATATAATTTATTATACATAAATACTTCAGTAGGTATCTAAAAAAAAGGGGACTCTTTGTTTTTACTAGAACCATAGTACCATTATCACACCTAAAAATTAATAATAATCCCTTAATACCAAATAATCAGTCAGAACTAACCTGCTAAGACTTTCATCACCAACTGTAGTCAAAGAGAAGAATGAAATGTTGTTGACAATACCATTCAAAATAAATATTCTTTTCATTAACTTAATCAAAACTTATTAATGGACAACATGAAAAAGTTTCAAATTTTAGGATAGATTTCTACCAGAATCATGAATCTGGTTAACAATATAACTTTATAAAATATGCCTATGTGGTTCAAAACCATTGTTTTATAACATTTTGACTGATGACCAATAAGTAATGCATAATTTGAGAATAAATAAAAGTACAAGTAAAAAGCCTCACCTATATTTAAGAGGAAACATTAAAGATTCCAGGGCTCTACAAGCATCACTAAGTCTCTGGAAACTTGCAGAATGGAAGAGAACCTTATTTTCTGTGAGGACTGCACAAAAGAGGCTGAGGACATTTTGAATTCCTGAAAACACAAGAGCAAAGACTTATGAAAAGCATTTAATTTTATATGTGTTGTCAGAACATAGACTTGGAATACTACGGAAAGAAAAAGCCAGTATTTTTTGAATCTCTGAAAGAAAATATTTAGTTAAACTGCAAATTCCATATAATCTATGCATGTTTTGTTTTCCTAAACTTTCAGTTTTGTTTGTCTCTATTCTTCAAATCAGTGTAACAAGCTCTGAATACTTTGTTTGGAAATATACTACCTTCTTCAACTTTATCTCCAAGGTCTGTTCTTAAACTCATTTTAGATGCTGGCATTGTTGTACTTTTACTCCTCTTAAAGTCTGTTTTATCTTTGTTAATATAAGCATACTAGCTTTGTTGTTGTTGTTGAAATTTGTCTGGCATGTATTTTTCCACGTTTTAACCTGAATCTTTTTTTTTTAACTTCTTGTAAATAGCATACAGTTGTTTTTTAACCCAGTCTGACAACCTTTGTCTTTTAACTAGATTACATATTTAATAAAAATACAAGTATCTTACTTTGAGCTTTTTATTTGTTCTATCTCTTCTTTTTCTTTCCTTATGATTTCTATTTATCCTGCCTCTTCTTTTATCCCTTCTGCTAATGTGGAATTTATAAGCTCTGTGTCTAATTTTTTAGTGGCAATTCTAGAAAATACAACATGCATACTTATCAAATCATAGTTAAATGAGTATATTGTTTCTTCTTTTCTTTTTTATTTTTGACTCAGAAGATTTCTCTTTATATCAATTTAACCTTAATCACATGGACCAATTAAATCAAGAGTCTCCATTAGTTTTCTCAACGTAAAATACTTCCTATATATCCCTTAACCGTTGCTTGTCCCTTCAGGTGACACACGTAAATTTCCTCTCATTCTTAGTTGCTATCCCCTTTTATTATTCCCTACCTATCCCATATGATACGTCAGAACTTGTAGTTTACGTTTTTAATCTTATCTGATTCGAAATAATGTAAGTTTCATAACTGGTTTCCCTAATCCAGTCCTTGTTCTCTTCATATCTGTCCTCAGGTTTGTAGAATGATGGATATTTAACACAAAACTGATTATATTGCTTTTATGTCTCAAACCCTTCAATATCTCCTCCATCCTTTGGTCAGTGATTTTCAAATGTATTCTGCTCTGCAGAAGCGATACAGCAAGAGAAGCTTTACTTGTTTCATACAATAATATTTATATATTAATCTCTCAGAGCCTCAGTTGGTAAAATGAGGATAATATTAAAACCTACCTTACAGTGTTGCTATGAATAAATGAGATAACATATGGAGTGCTCAGCATAGTATCATGGTAAATAATCAATATATATTAACTCATCCTAAGTTTATTACTATAATTGTTGTGGTTGTTACCATTAATTTCGTTTGAAGTTAGAGTTCTGATGTTAACAATATTTGAAAACACCTAACCTACAAGATTAAGGCTGAGCTCCATATCAAAAAGCCTCCATTGTCTAACCCCATCTTTCCAACCCCTTTGCCATCTCCTATTACTATGTGATCAATATTGAATTCATCTAGCCATCAGAATACTTCCTTCAGTTTGATATCGCTGCCTCTCTGCTCATGTTCTGTCTAATGTTACCTTCATTAAAGTGTGAGTTCCTCAGAGACTATATACTGGGCTTTAGTCACTGCTGTATCCTTCCTGCCTAGCACAGTACTTAGTATACATAAGCCCCCTCCCCCTGCAAAAAATACCCATTGCTGACGAGTTGATTCTGACTCATAGTGATCCTACAGGACAGAGTATAGCTACCCCATAGGGTTTCCAAGGCTGTATTCCTTTCTATTTTTAAAACTGTTACAAAGCAAAGATATCACTTTGAGGACTAACATGCGCTTGACCTAAGCCATGGTCTTTTCAATTGCCTTATATGCACGTAAAACTGAACAATGAATAAAGAAGACCAAAGAAGAACTGACGCCTTTCAAGTCTGGTGTTGGCGAAGGATACTGAATATACCACGGATTGCCAGAAGAACGAACAAATCTGTGTTGGAAGAAGTAAAGCCAGAACACTCCTTAGAAGTGAGCATGGTGAGACTTTGTCTCAAGTATTTTGGACACATTATCAGGAGAGGCCAATCCCTGTAGAAGGACATCATGCTTGGTAGACAGTCAACGAAAAAGAGTAAGACCCTCAATGAGATGGACTGACACGGTGGCTGCAGCAATGGGCTCAAACATAGCAACCACTGAGAGGGCGGTGCAGGACTGGGCAATGTTTCTGTCGTACGTACGGTTGCTATGAGTCGGAACTGATTCGACGGCACCTAGTAACAACAATTCTTCACGGAAGCAGACTGCCACATATTTCTCCTGCAGAGTAGCTGGTGGATTTGAACCACCAATCTTTTGGTTAGCAACTGAGTACTTACCCACTGCACCACCAGTTCTCCACTAGTATACAGGAAGCACTGAAAAATGTTTCACTAAACTGATAAGCTCTCTGAATGGTGGCATGACTCCCCACTAAAAACCTAAAACTTTTCATTAAAAGATAGAGGAAAAAATCTTTATACCCCCAAAAAGGCAAAGTGTAAAATATACAAATTATAAAAGAAAAGATTGATAAGGTAAATTATTTTAAATTAAAAGTTTCTGGGTCAAAACATAATACAGAAGTGAAGACAAGTTTCAGACCTAAGAGAAAATACCTAAAAAGTATATAAATGGAAAAAAGTTCCTCAAATTTTTTTTAAAAAAACTACAAACTCAGTAATAAAAAAGAAACATTAGAGAATAATATAAACCTATAATGTACAGAAGAAACCAAAATGGTTTCCTCAAAAACATATGAGAAGATGCTGCAACCTCGCTAGGAATTAGAAAAATTCAAACTACTAACACAATGAAAGAGCATTTCATACCCATCAGAATAGCCAAAATTTAAGTCTGACAATTGTAAGTTTTGATAAGGATGGGGAGGAACAGAAACTATCATACATACTGCTCTGGGGAATATAAAGATGTATATACCCTATAATATAGTTATTACAGTGATTTCAGTAATTTTGTGGACAGTTATGTACTCTAGATACTCTTTAATATGTGCCCAAGAAGACAAGCATAGGAAGGTACATTATAGCAGTATTTGAAATAATGAAAAGAAGTAGACATATCTTAAATGTGAGAATGGCTGAATAAATTTTAATAAAACCATACTATTATTATACTTTCTCTGATTGAAGATGGCAAATGTTGACTGAAATAGAAAATTAAAACTAAAAATGTATTCAAAATTCACAAAACTAAGCAAGTATTAAAGAAATCTAAATAAAACTTTCAAGTGATATGTTTGTTTTGGTTTTGGTAAGTTTGTGGAACCTGTATTTGTGAATATAGCTTAAAATGAATGAGCTAGAGCTATATATATATCAACATGAATAACTCTCCCAAATATAACATTAACTGAGAAAAAGTGCATAATGATTATATAGTATGACAGCATTTACATAATGTTTAAACCATACAAAACGGTACTATGTATTGCTTTAGAACCTGTTGCCGTCAAGTCAATTCTGACTCATAGCGACCCTATATAGGACAGAATAGAATTGCCCCATAAAGTTTCCAAGGAGCAGCAGGTAGATTCGAACTGCCGACGTTTTGGTTAGTAGCTGAGCTCTTAACCCCTGCACCACCACAGCCTTACATATAAATACAGAGTCAACATACAAAGATATGTTTGGGACTGTTGTTAGGTGCCATTGAGTCCATTTTTAACTCATATTGAACCCACTGGACAAAGCAGAACTGCTCCATAGGGTTTTCTAGGCCTGGATCTCCAGGTCTTTCTCCCACAGAGCTGCTGGGTGGGTTGCACTTCAACGTTTTGGTTAGCAGCCAAGTGATCAACTGTTGCACTACCAGAAGATGAAAAAACAAAGATAGCTTATTATGTATATTAAACATAATAGACCAAAATGGTTTATTATGTCTGGGACTAATAAACACCAAATTTGGGATAGTGTTTATCTCTGCAAAGAGTAGGTATGCACAGAGTGTTTCAACTATAGTTATGATGGTATATTTTTTAAGCTAGATCATGGTACATAGAATTTTTTTTAAATATTTCCAAAGAAATATTTAAAACTTACAGAAAAGTTGCAATAAGAATAGTACACAGCACTTCACCAGCCAGCACTTGACATTCTGCAGTAAGCAATGCCCTCCCTTCGCTGCTCTCATTTACTTGCTTCTTTATTCATTGTCAGTATAGACTCATGGATCCCTAATATTTTTCCAACAGTTGATAAGTGATTACTACGCTTAGTTATTTTTGTGCTAAACATATCCCAGATTTACACAGTAGGGGCCCCTTTAAGCCAGTATCTATGTCCTTCTAACACAAACTCATCTTTTTTTTTTTTTTTTAAGTTCTTTCTTACTTTATGGTGTAACAAAATAATCTAGGCTCTTATTATACCTACCCTGCCCCAGCCCTAAAGTTAGCCATTTCTCCAGGGAGTCCTGGTTCTTTTTGGAAAGGAATGGTGGGAAATCAAGATTCTGGGTGTTAGGGTATATACCAGATCATTGTAACTGGGGTGTCTGATTCTAGGCCATTTCTCCAGATCAAGATAGGAATAGATGCATGTATATACGCAAACATATGGTACACATATACAAATACACACAATGTATATATACATGCACATAGACACACAGACACATAAATTCATTCGTATTTGAGAAATCCTGAGTCCACACCATTACTCTGAATTCAATTCACCCCCTAGGATTCCTGCCTTCTGCCCCCAACCCCCAATTTCATATTTTATGTTTGTGATGGTTAAGGCTGTGTGTCAACTTGGCTGGGCCATGATTCTCAGTGGTTGGGCAGTTATGTAGTGAAGTAGTTTGGCAATTATGTAATGATGTAGTTATGTAATGACTATAAAACTGAGGTTATATAGTCAAATACTGTGTTCATAAGTTATTTTGATCAGTTTTTTTCTCTTCAA